TTCTGATTTCCGTACTCTTTTCTTTCTGAAGTGACTTGGGATTGATCTGTTGAGAACTGGTTTCAACTTTCTAGTGTTGTGTGAGCCTTTGTGAATGTCTGTGTGACAGTATTGACTCTATTGAGCTGTCAAGTTGTGAATAGTGAAAGACAGTAAGCTGTGGTTAGTACTGCTTATTAAGTTATTAGTACTTATTACTAATGTTGTTGTTGTTTTTTTTTTTTTTTTTTTTTTTTTTTTTGGGTCCGGACATTATTGTGTCCGGTGTAACGGTCCGGACGTTCCGGGTCCGGTCCTGCCTGGTTGTCCGGTGCCTGTCCGGATTACCGGACGTCTGGACCAGTCCAGACAAATGTCTGGGCCTCGGTCCAGACATGTCCGGGTCTGGGTCCGCGGTTGCCATGATTTCAACAGTTTAGTGGGTGTACCAACTGAGTTATAGGCTCGTCGGTACCCTATTTCTCCATCTTTTTTTTTTTTTTGAGCCCTTCGACGGAGCGAAGGGCCGTAAAAAAATACTGTAAGCTGCTCAGTGTGCTCAGCCCCCAGTATTCTTTAGTAAAAGGCAAAAGAATAGTACCCGATATGAGCTGGGCACGCAGCTGGATGAATTTTTCCATCTCTTTTTCTTTTTCCATCTTCAGTTCGTTTTTTTGCTATTTCTGTATCCTCCCTCTTCTCCTTTCTTTTGCAAACTTCATTTCATTTTTTGCTTCTTCTTCTTCTTCTTCTTCTTCTTCTTCTTCTTCTTCTTAAATCTGTGCCGGTGTGCTAGAGGGGGTGATATGATCACCCCCCTTTAACGGCACCTGCTGCAGGTAGCTTTGGTCTATTGGTGGGGAGCAGCACCTGCTGGAAACCGGGTCCACACGACTCCACAGCTAGGAAGATTTTCATGACTGACCGGTCACCAGGGCGTGACGCCCAGGATACCCGGGCATGGAAAATAATAAAAAAAGAAAAATTGGCGGTGGGGATTTTCCGCGCTCTCCGAGAGGAGCTCAAATCCAGGCTCTTTTTTTTTTTTGAGTGTCGGCTGTCAAAGGGGGGGAAGGGGAGTATAAATGAATTTTAAAGGGGCTAAAGGGGTTTAAAGGGGGGTGCCTTAGTGTGACTTGATTATTTTCTTTTTTATCTTCAGTTCCGTGAGGAATTCTGATGTGACCCTCAGCCAAAAGTTGCTTGTATTGCAATTCTACACAACATATTGTTTTTTGAACTTTTTTGAACTTTTTCAGTTTGTTTGTTTGTTTGTTTGTTTGTTTGTTTGTTTGTTTGTTTTTTTGTGCACTGGGGCTGCCTGGGCCCATGCCCGGGGGTCATGCCCAGCCGGTCACCCGGTCGCCAAACCGGGTGTGACGTCGGGACCCGGGCGCCCGGGATATCTCCCTAGCTCCACAGTTCATTTTTTGCTATTGATATATCCTCTCTCGTTTCCTTTCTTGTGCCATCTTCGGTTCCTTTTCTCTAGTGTTAGCTCCTCTTTTTTTCCTATTCAGGAAGTTCAGGAAAAGTGCACACCACCTAACTAACTAGTTTAACAACAAAAACAAAAAGCTAAGATCAGATAAGTCGACCAAAGCAAGCTAAGTTAGCTAACCTAAGTTGATCCAGACGAGTTAGCCTATTGGTTAAGTATATGCTTGCCAAGCAGATAAGCTGTTTGAAGCGAGATAACCTAACCTGATCCAACCCAGTTCCCCTATTGGCTATTGGCTACGTATCTGCTTGGCAAGCAGATAAGACGTCGAGCAAAGAGAGGTCACCTAACCTGATCCAGACCAGTTAGCCTGTTGGTTAAGTACCTGCTTGGCAAGCCGAAAGTTGCATGTTCGATTCACGTTGGCGACAATGCAATTGCTCTACCTTTATGGGATGAGTGCATAGCAACCGGCGTAGAGCCCGGTTCGAGAGCACTACGGTGACTGCAGCGACTGTGCGAATTTGATGCATCACCGACCATGATAAGTGTGAGTGGGTACAATGGGTCGCGGAGTACTCCGCGCTAGGGTGGGGTGAAGTAGTCCACAATGGGCCTCAGTTTCATTGCAGCCCACTCACTCAGCGTATTGGTTAAGTCTTTGCTTGGCCAGCGGAAGGCCGCGTGTTTGATTCGGCATCAGGCACAATGTGATTTCTCTACCTTTACTAAACTAACCGAATAGCAAACAAACAAACAAACATATCCTGTGTTGAGTCTGTTGACAGCTATATGCTGAATCTGCAGGTGTGGAGTCTTTTCGCTATCTGATCTATTGGGCCAGGGTGGAGGGCAAGGGGGTGTGAAAGCGCAGGCTTATGGCCTTATAATTCAGTTTATAACTTAATATGCTACAGCCTAGAAGAAGCCCCAAACTGATTTATATACCTAGATAATTTTGCAATGAGCCTCTGAAATCCACACCGAAACTCCATCTGCACACGCAGAACATTCACATTAAAGCTCACACCGGAAGCCAAGAGACGAACCCAAAAGAGCGCACCAAAGAGCTTATTATGTTATACAATGGAAGTGTTAAAGTATCTGGCGGCTTCAGCCGCACACTACAGCAACACTCCGGCCCAGCTCTCTCTCTCTCTCTCTCTCTCTCTCTCTCTCTCTCTCTCTCTCTCTCTCTCTCTCTCTCTCTCTCTCTCTCTCTCTCTCTCTCTCTCCCCTGGCTTGTATCGATCAATCTCGCTGACTCTCTGCACTTTGATCACTTGCCTCACCACTCTCTGTCTCACCCTACTCCACTTGGATTGCATCCCGAGTACACCCTCGTCATTCCACCCTTGACCTCTGTGGCTATGGCCACCTTCTTCCTCAACCTCCTAGCCCGAGCTACGGTAATCAGACGTCTTTTTCCCCGCCAGGCACTCGCTCCTCCTCCGGCGCCCACCTTCCATCCACGTCGCACTATCGCACAAGCAACCAGCAGTGCTTCCGCAACTTGCGTATGAGCAGATGAGCCTGCTTGTTGATGCTGCTGGGATTTTATACTTGCTGATCTGCCTTCCAGACATCTTCTGTTGGTTATGGGTTGCTCCCCTTGCCTTTGTTTCCTGCTTCTGGAAACTTACGGACTCTTCTTGGATTTGACTGCTTGCGTGGATTGGCTGACACCTGGCCTAACAACTCTGGTGATCCTCACTGAAGTTTGTGGTGCCTTCTAAACACAGACTCTTCAACCCATAACTGTTATCTGCCACGGACTTCCTACCACGATCTACATAACAAGCCCGCCTATCTTCTTTACCCGAATACAACGTACAGTCATTATTGCTGTATCTAGACTGGAAGTTACCCCAAATACAGCTATAATGACCGTCCGTTGTATTCAGGGGAAGAAGGTAGGCCTCTGCAATCATGGTACAAACAAAAACTACTCGTTTAGAGTATTCGTGAACATTGTACAAGTGGCTGGAAGCCTGGAACCACTGATGGAACACGGAATGGGACCTGGGATTAGGACCTAGGACTCAGGACTGGGACCTGGCACTCAGGACTGGGACCTGGGACTCTGGGACTCTGGGACTCTGGGAGTGGGACTCGGGACTGTGACTCTGGGACTGGGACACATGTGCAGCGTGAAATCCTTTCAATTTTTCAAAAGGTTGAAAAATCAATTAACGGTGGTAAACAAAGTTACCAGGCACTCCCTCACAGCCTGCTAATATCCCTTAAGACTACCTCCCATATGCAGCCCCGACCATTACGGGAGAAGAAACCCACCCCCCAACACCCACAGCTACACCCACAACCACACCCACGCTTACACTCCCCCCCCTCCCCCCCACACACACACACACGCATAATCAAGAAAGGGAGATGACAGATTTATTGTGCTTTATGTTGTTTGCTATAGAGGTAGAACTGTTTCATTGTTGGATTGGCCCATCGCAAGCGTGCTTTGTTGTCTGCAATAGAGGTAAATCTGTTTTGATCCGTAAATCTGTTTTGATCCGTAAATCTGTTTTGACCTTGGATTTACTCATCTGGGTGGAACAGGGGCTGTTGTGGTGAAAATCTACGACACACACATGTCAGCTGCGGAATCCCAAGAACATTTTGACTCAATGCCACAATGTGATGACCCGCTTGATGCCCGACTACGGTCTTCACCCGAATAGAATGCCCGGTCATGATTGCTGCATGTGCACAGAAAGTTGTGACAGATACAGCTATAATGACCAGGCGTTCTACTCGGGTGAAGACAGTAGCATATGATCCACATTCTTTGTGTTGTGAGCATTATGAGAGTATATAGCTCATGCGAGTTTTTGCGTGCATAGCAGTTCATAGTACTCCATACCTACTAGTAGGATGAGGACAATCAACATTGGACCAACCTACTCAGTGTATGACACCCTCACATGGCGTGTCCTATTTTTAGACACGGCCTGGAACCGCTGTGCTCATACAACTGCTGTGGCCGCCATGGCCTCTTCGTGCCTACCTGGCTTGCGGGGAGAGCGACGCTGCCTGCCTACTTCTGTCTATGCCGTGCCATTTACATTGTCTGCAACTGTGAGAATTGGATGCGGTGCTTCCACAGGCCATACCCGAACTGCTCGTGTCTGGTCCTGTCCTGTCGGAGTGTCCGGTCTGCGATGGCGGCCAGTTACCATGGGCAAAACAAATGCCTGCTCCTGGCTCCACTCATTTTTCTCTGCAACCCAAACCCTGACTGGCCTCTTGTGCCAGAGTCTCTCTAGCAGTCTGCTCTGCCAGTGAGCATTGAGGGCGCAATGAGGTGCTGCTTGTTTCCCCTGCTCTTTTCCTCCCTCCACTCACCTGTGGAGGCATCACCCCCTAAGCAATCGTAAAGGAAGACGTTGAAAAAATGGCACTCGATTCTTCATTTCAGGTCTGCCTATCAATTGCTTTGGGGGGTGATGATCTGGGTCGGGCTAGGCGCCACCTATTAGGAAAATCTATAAAACCTACCTCCTAAGGGAAGTAAATTGAAGTAGTCAATGCCGTCCACTGGGGTGTCTCAACAGTTTAATGGGGAGGAGCATGCGTGAATTTATTTTGTAATCTACTAATCTCTGTCTGACTTGCCAGTGGAATAGAAACCGGACTGACGCTTCCCAGAATGGAAAGGAGCCAGGACCATAAGGTTCTTCTTTTTTTTTTCAAGCACACTTTCTCTAACTACCTTTTTTTTTTTTTTTTTTTTTTTTTTGTGTGTGTGTGTGTGTGTGTTTTACCTTGTGTTGTTGTGTTGTGCATTCTGTTTGCGTGCAGGTGGACTCTATTCCTGCTGTGTTTGGTGTCACCCGCGATCCTTTTATTGTCTTTACGTCAAACATGTTTGCCATTGTTGGTAAGTAAAATTTTAAAAATAGCAAAATACTAAAGTTTTTGCAAACAATTCTCTTCCGTGGTCTTTAGGACTCTCTTTTGTTTCCCCAAAATGATTTTTTTTATTAAACCACCACTACCTCTGTCACTCTTGGGAAAAATGGGAAAACTGTCTGTTTTCCAACTTTTCCCACTTTTTTCCGAACGTTTCGGGGCTCGACGGAGGCTCGGCAGATGGGCAAGTGGTCCCAGGGTCACTCTGGTAGCCTAGGTCATCAGATGAATCCAAGACTCAAGAGTTTTTTCAACTCGATCCGATGACCCAGCATACCGTGAATTAGGAAAGATCGCAGCAACCTTTGCCGGATCCGACGGTTATTCTGCCGGCTGGGAATCTAATTGAATCTATCCATGATTTTTAAACCGTTTTTTTTTTTTTTTTTTTTTTTTTTGAAACTAACCTATATTCTTCTCGCGATATATCTCCAACTACCTACCTACCTACACGCAGCTTAGCAATCCACTACAGGGTTTTTCGTGCCCAAGGAAGGAAATCTCTCCTACGTTTAAGAAGCCACACCTGCTCTGTGCGGGGAGCAGCACCCAAGCTTTAACACCAGGCGTGAGCTGGAAGGCGCAAATGGTCGCTTCCAAGCCAGCCAGGAGGCCGAAGCCAATTATCTCCATTGGAGAACCCGAAGCGCAGCACAGGAGGCCGTGGGGATAGAATGGACAACGTGGGAAATCGAACCCACGACCTCCTGCGAACCACTTCCGTGCTCAAACCAACTGAGCACTGTTAGATTCCGTCAAATTGTGCCAGCTGTCAAACTACATGGATGAATGATTAAGATTCTGTAAGGCGGGGGGGAGGGGGGAAGCAGACAGTTAAAAAGTGTTTAATAGAATTTAAATCAGAGCTGTGCCAGATCTTTTTTTTTTCCTTTTCTTCTTTTTTGATTTGGACTGCACCCGCCGAGATCTCCCCGATTCCACAGCGAAAACTTTGAACAGAGAAGTTTCATTCCATTGGGGGGGTGGGAGGAGGGAGGGGATGTATTTCAGGGGTTGGTGGTTGGAAGTTGGGGGGATTATGGTGGGGGTGTGAGCGGTGCGGTTGCAGCTCCCTCCTCTCTCTCCTCTCTCTCCTTTCTCGCTCATCTCTCGCTCCCTCCTCTCTCTCTCTCTCTCTCTCTCTCTCTCTCTCTCTCTCTCTCTCTCTCTCTCTCAAGGTGACTCAACTCATCCATCAATCAGTGAACAACCAACTCCAACACTTGTAGATGCAAGCAGAGATTGAGATAGAATAGAACAACCCAACGCCTCTCCTCCGCTCCAGCCACCTGAACACCAGTCACAAATTGTTATCCCACTCATCTTCAGTACAATGTTTCATCTCCAGTGAATAGAACAACCAGTAACCGCCAAAGAAAAGTGCCCAAGTTCTTCTCTCATGTCTCGCTCTGATGTCCATCCACCATAGCCTCCCACCCCGGTGGCCACCGCCATGTACAAGTGTCACTGTCTTCCTCCCTCTTGGAGCATCTACCACTCTGTGCTCTCTCACTGCTCTAGCAACACTACCCCGAAGTGGGCGCACTGTAGTAGTATTCACTCTAGCATTCACTCCAGCATTCACTCTAGCATCACACGATAGCACTATGCGCTGTAGCACTACAAGTCGAACAGAGACGTGCATTGTAGCACTGCTCAGTGTCGCATTGCAGACTGTAGCACTGCGCACTCTAGCGGCGCTCACTGCGGCAGCGCTTGCTGCAGCACTGTGCAATGTAGCAGCCTGGCGGCCTCCACCCAGAGTTGTGTCTCAATAGACTGCTGGCTGGCTTATATACTCTTCGCTGGCCAGTACATCAGCTTTCTTGGTACTGGCGGCCAGGCCCAGTTGCTCGCCCAGCGCCAACTCGAATTCTTTTCTTTTTTTTTCCTTTTTTTTTGGGGGGCGGGAAGACCTGGCCGGTACCTTTTCCCTTGATGCAAGTGTGGTCCACTTTCCAAGAAAGATGCTGTGCAGTTTTTTTTTTTTTTTTTTCGCTCTCAAAATTCAATATTCCAATTCCAATTCAACGTTAAGTTAGAGGCCGTTGTCCTCAACAATACATCCCGGTTGGTATCTGGAAGCATCATCCAGCTTAGCTTTCAGGCTGACAGCCTGCGAGTCTTTCATCGCAGACTCCACAGCAGCCACAGAGCTTTTTTTTTTTTTTTTTTTTTTAAAAAAGCTCTGTGGCTGCTGTGCCATGCTGTGCAATTTCTGCTGGAGCGGCGGACACAATTTCCATGACACGTGTTATGCGATTTCCAAGGCAGTGAGCCTGAATCTTCTTTGTACTTTCACCGTCCTTTCCTTCGTACTTTCCGGAAGGTTCTGGACTTGTAGTATACTTTTCCACTTTTGTGGAAAAAGTCCCAAGTTTCCTTCTTTCTTACCAAGTTTCAGTATTTTTTTACTATTTTTGCCTCGGGATCTACGCCCGTAATAAATGCAAGCATTTAAAATCTAAAAAAAATAATAATAAGGAAGGACAAACAATCAGATTTCCAAATAACAAGTGCAGAAATCAAAATCATGCCAAACCATACAGCAGTGTCAGCAGACATATTTACAAATAGGGTACACTCGCTGGTGCTGCAAAACCGTGGGTACTTGCAGAGTGGGCAGACCAAGTAGACGGCTCTTTCAAGTTCGGCAGTAAGGGGGATCATCCGTACATTGATTCTTGTTCATTCATTCATTGTTATTATTATTATATACATTAGTATTGAAGAGGAGGTGTTGATGAGAGAGAGATGATGGTGGCGAGATATGGAGGGAGATGACATTGGTCTTAACTTGGCTTCTTCTTCTTCTTCTTCTTCTTCTTCTTCTTCTTCTTCTTCTCCTCCTCCTCCTCCTCCTCCTCCTCCTCCTCCTCCTTATTCTTATTCTTATTCTTATTCTTATTCTTATTATTCTTATTATTCTTATTATTATTTATTATTATTATTATTATCATCATTTCCTCCATCCATCTGCTCTCCTTGACTCATTCTTCTTCTTTTGAGTTGCATGGATGGCATTGTCTCACATTTGAGTTCTGCATCATGAAATGAAATGAGCAAATGTCAATGAGAACACTTCTGACGTTGTTTCTCAAGTCAGATGTATAATTTGAAGTGCAGAACCTCACTCACAACGAGTTGTGCGTACATTGTTTTCTTGGCTAGGTCTTCGCTCCCTTTATACATTGATTGCTTCTAGCATGGGCGAGCTCCGGTATCTTCAGGTGAGAATACCGGCTCCATCCACATGCAACGCCCTAACTCACATGCACAACCCATCTCCCCACCTTATGCTCCGCTCGCTCTCTCCCCCTCTTCCCAATCCTACGTCTTCCTGTATTTCCTCGTCGTCCACCTCCACCTCCACCTCCCTCCCTCTCTCTCTCTCTCTCTCTCTCTCTCTCTCTCTCTCTCTCTCTCTCTCTCTCTCTCTCTCTCTNCTCTCACACACACACACACACACACACACACACACACACACACACACACACACACACACACACACACACACAAACACACACACACACACACACACACACATGTACACGTGTACACATGAAATCACTTGCCTTCACTTTCTGTGTCTTCTTCCCTCTCTCTCTCGACGTCTATATCTTCTTTTGCAGATATGCATACTAACTCTGATTTTTGTTTTTGCTCGTGTGTCTCGTTTGCACAGACATCGGTGGCTCTGGTGCTTGGCTTTATTGGTTCCAAAATGATCGCAGAGTACTTGGGTAAGTAGGACAGAACAGACTGTGTTGGTGGTCCTGTAAGCTGATGTAAGAGTCACCATGGTTCACTTTTTCTTCAAATATATATTGTTGCCCAAAGGTGATTAACACCAACTCTTTTTTCAATCACTGACAAAGTTGGTGTTAAATTGTTTACCAAACAAAAAATAATGGTCATCAGGCTACAGTCGCCATACTAACCACTCATTCTGAGCCTTTTAAATTTTAATTGTGCTTCCCTACTGTATGCTCCTACCAGAACTAATATTTGATACCATCCATTCTTGAGAACAGAGAAAGCCTCTTTCTCATGTGCTCTCTCTTTTTTTTTTTGGCCTATTCTTTTGGTTGTTGTAAGCCGTCAGCCCCTTGGCGTAAGTTTATCCCTCTGTTTGAACTTTGAAATCAGCAGACCAACTAGCAATCTGTTTTATAACTTTGCATTAGCTGAATTTAGCTCATAAGCAATTACATCTGTGTACACGGTACACGACTCAAACCACCCACATGTTGTAAGGGTCTCGCCGCACGGCACACGAAACGAAAAAGAAACGAGTGCATCTGCCCACGAAAGGTGGCAAAATACACTCGTTACTGTTTATAGCAAACGGATGAACTTGGCCATTTTCTGTGGGAAGATGCACTCGTTTCGTTTTTCGTTTCGCGTGCCGTGCGGCGACGCCGTAAGGGGTAGCCTGTTTTCAGTTTGGCAGCGTTGGCTATACTGTATTTGCATGAGCTCGATTGGAGCTGGTGTGCGACACGAGCCTGGGTGGTGTTGTGTGTGTGTGTGTGGAGTACGGTCAGGACACTACCATCGTCACCCGAATAGAACGCCCTGTCATTATAGCCGTATCTGGTCCAACTTTCAGTCTAGGTACAGCGATAATGACCGGGCGTTGTATTCGGGTGAAGACAGTAGAACCATGCAGAGGTGAGGTGGATATCGGGGGCGGTTATGGTTACAGTTTTGTACACCGTGCCATCGACGTAGTGGTTCAGAAAGATGGCTCTCGAGGCTGACGGCGCCGGTTCGTTCGATTCCATGCGTGCACAGATACGCTCCAAAGCTGGACAAAGTACTGACTTGTCTAAGAACAGTACTTGTACTTGCATCTTGTCTGTCTGATGAGTTTTTTTAAAACGAATGTATGTGCCTGAGTATACTCTTTTTCTCCTCATTCGCTTTCGACTCCCCTGCTGCTGACTCCAAATCTTTCACTCCTCTCCTAGGAACTGCTGCTGCTGCTGCCCCTTTTTCTGTGCTGTAATTTTTTTTTTGTCTCATTTTTTTGCTGTTGCCCATGCAGGCGAGGTTTTTAAAGTGATGTAATATGTGCTCGAGTACTCTTTCTCCTCAATCTCTTTCGACTCCGCTGCTGACCCAAATCTTTCACTGCTGTCCTTCTTCCCTCCTTTCTTTTTTTGTGCTGTAATGTTTCTCTTTTTTTTTTGCTGTTGCCCCTGCAGGCGAGCATATTCCCACCACGGTGTCGTTGGCCGTGGTGATGGTCACCCTGGGAACAGGAGTGCTTCTTAGCTTTAAGGACCAAGAGCAGAGCAAGGAGTTGGAGTGGGATATCTTCCCGGAAATCATCAACGACGACAACCAAGACGAGAAGGACGAGATGCCGAAATAGTCAAGTCGTCCGACTGTACTGTAATCCACCCGGGAAAAAAAAAATGAAGAAAGGCGGCAGCGACTATGTGCCGGAGAGAGCCTGGACATAGGTATTTTATAATTTTAATTATTTAAATTTATTTTCCAAGCCTTCAGGTCTGGCCAACCATTGCAAAATACGTCATTGCGATCTTCATGTTGGGGGCTCGGAAGGGTCGGGGACTCGAGGCGGACTGCACGTGACAAAAAGGTGGCTGGGTACAGTGGTCCAACTGGACGTAGAAAATCTTAGCCATCTGTTGATGACTACCAATCACTGAAAATGTATAATGCCAATCTCACATGCTCTTCTGAGGGCATAGGATCTGCTGATGACTACCAATCACTGAAAATGTATAATGCCAATCTCACATGCTCTTCTGAGGGCGTAGGATATATATTTAATATTTATGGATGATGGACTTTTTTTTTTTTTTTTTTTTTTTTTTTTGGATGATGGACTTTCGCGTAGACGTATTGTACTTCCTTTTTTTCGCTTTTGGGATTCGAACGGAGGTCTGTATGTCAACCGCACTCAGGGCGTACTCACACTAGCAGTATCTCAAATGTATCTGACCGCGTTCACGGCCATACCTTGATGTATCTGGCTGCAATTCCGTTCAAAAATGCATAAAAAAAGTCCTAGTGTGAGCGTGCCCTCAGGCCTGTATTTCAACAGGTTTCGTGCGTGTTCTACTAAGTTCCTACCGTCTTCACCCGAATAGAACGCCCGGTCATTATCTATCGCTGCATCTGGACCGAAGTTTGTGCCAAGTACAGCTATAATGACCGGGCGTTCTATTCGGGTGAAGACGGTAGTCGCTTCAGAAATACGCACGCACTGAGATGTCGCCTCCCACAGGCCTGGTCTTATCGAGAGTGGTGACATTATCAGGTGATGCCTTCTGCACCTAGTCCTGAATAGCCGAAAGATGCACAGAGAAAAGCGCACCGTGCAGTGAACCTGGCCATATGAATAACTCAAAGATGCACAGAGCAGAGCACCCTCTGGGCCTACGCTACTTTGGACTGCTTTTGTAAGTTTTGGTTTTCTTTGGCTACTTCAGCCTACTTGGACTTATTTTTTAAGTCATTCATCTGGATTCAAACTTGGGTCTGATTCATATTTCAACAATTCATGGTTGTACCAACTGAGCCAGGTTCATTCAACTTGGACATTTTGGACATATAATAGTTGTAGGCCACTTTGGACATTTTTTTGGACATAATAGTTGTTGGCCATTTTGGAGATTTTGGACATGTTGGACATGATAGTATTGGACATTTTGGACATGATAGTTATTGACCATTTTGGAGATTTTGGACATTTTGGACAATCTAGTTGTTGGACATTTTGGACATAATAGTTGTTGGCCATTTTGGAGATTTTGGACATTTTGGACATTCTAGTTGTTGGACATTTTGGACATAATAGTTGTTGGCCATTTGGGAGATTTTGGACATTTTGGACATTTTGGACATTCTAGTTGTTGGACATTTTGGACATAATAGTTGTTGGCCATTTTGGAGATTTTTGGACAATTTGGACATTATAGTTGTTGGACATTTTGGACATTCTAGTTGTTGGACATTTTGGACATAATAGTTGTTGGACATTTTGGACATAATAGTTGTTGGACATTTTGGACATAATAGTTGTTGGCCATTTTGGAGATTTTGGACATTTTGGACATAATAGTTGTTGGCCATTTTGGAGATTTTGGACATTTTGGACATTGTAGTTGTTGGACATTTTGGACATTTTGCCATGATTTTGAACATTGTAGTTATTGGCCATTTCCGACTTTATAGAGTCCTCCTTTCCTGCACGTTCCTGGCCTGCCATATTAGTTCTGTCCTTCACATTATAGATGTAGATAATAGACATAGATGTAGATCAGATACCAGTTACAGTTCTTTCCTGCGACATTGTTGGCCCACCTATACAGCTCCAGAGCTCAGTGGATTCACATGGTCATGCTCCCATCCAGATTCATTCACTCATCTACATGGTGATTTCCCAGGTCTGAAAAGGCCACCCTCATCTTATCTTCCTGTAATTCAGAAGGGTTGAAATGTTGAAATACAGACCCAAGCCTGAATGCAGATGCAATCACATGAATACAACACAATAACTCCGAATCACCTGGGGCCGGTCAGTTCAATGATGACATCTGAATACCGCCATCCTTTATTAAAAAAAAAAAAAAAAAAAAAAGAATAGAAGAAGAAGAAGAAGAAGAAGAAGAAGAAGAAAGAAAGAAAGGGTTTGCAACTTTGCAGAGCCCGCCGTTTGTTGTCCTTTCTCCCTTTCTGCTTTTGGTTCACCGGATATAGATAGATAGATAGATAGATAGATAGATAGATAGATAGATAGATAGATAGATAGATTAGGGGAAATTACATCTGTACCCCATTTAAAGATGGCAATATCAGCTATACCCAGTCCAGCACTCAACTATCTATATCCAGACCCAGTCCAACTTATGGTAATACCCTACTTTTCCCATGCACCAACTTATACACGTACCCAGTCCCACAGGCCCTTGGGTGGGGAGCAGCATATTATGCTTATGCCCAGGAACCGGGCAGGCAAAATTGGGTATGCACATAGTTTGCCTAGGCATGAGCATAATTTGAGCATTCGGGTAGTTGGGTATAATTGCAATTTGGCGGTACCAACATTGGCCCACCTCCGTCGTGGGCATGCAAATCATTTGCACAGACCATTTTCCGGGCACAGATGCATGTTGGGCACTGGGACTGGGTATAGTGGGTATTCCCATCTTTAAATGGGGTACAGATCTAGGCTACCAGCCAGGGCCGCCCGGGTCACCTTATTTTCCTGGGCGGCCCGGCTGTGCAAGGACCCGGGAAGGTCCCACTGGGAAAAAACAAAACTATGTTATGCAGAAAACTAAACAACTTTTGCCGCAGGGTCCCATCGCAATTCTTTACCAAATTTATTTATTTATTTATTTTTATTTCTATTTTGGCCCAGCTGGGCAAGTTGTCCCGGGCCACTCTGGTAGCCTAGGTACAGATGCAATTTTCCCTGTATATTATTATGTTTCTTCACAGCGGACTGCGGAGTGAACCGTAGGCAGAGAGGGAGGGAGAAGAGGAAAACAAATGAGGGGCTGTGACAGACTGTTTCATCGGAGTTTCATGTATATTACTATATTGTCATGCTCATCTAGGTCTCCCATGTCCTTATCTATCTCATTCCTACAACGGATGTCCTCTCTGTCGTCAAGGACAGACTGATTCTCGACTCTCCTCTATTCCTTTACTGTGCTTTCATCTTCATTCCACACCCGTTACCTTCGCTTGTTTTCGAATTGTCTTTCTTTGCTTTGTCTTCTTTCTATCTTTCCTGTCGGCTCACCCCTTCTCCCTTTACGCCGCGGCTTTTTTCACACTGTACAAGTGGGCCATTCTGGCACACGGGGATGCGGGCGGCTTGCTCTCAACTTTTTTCTTTTTTTCTTTTTTTCTTTTTTTTTGAATTGGACATGCTCCAATCTATTAGTGGGGAGCAAGACGTGCTGGGAACCGGGCCCAGCGTCCCATTCAAAAACATATTGAGAAAATTATGCAGAAAACCTTGAGATACCGGGGCCACTACCCGGCTTCGGCTAAAGATGATAGCAATGCAATCTACACAAAAAGTTAGGTCCTCACAAAAAGTTAGGTTCTCTAAGGTTTGATCATGGTGTTACGATCCTGGCCAATTTCGAAGTATACAAACATCAGCAAGTACAATGCCATCCAATTGCAAAAAGAAATGAATGAACTTGAGAGGAGAGAGAGGGAAGAAGACGAAGAAGAAGTAAGAAAGAGGAAGAAGATGATGTACTTCAGCATAGACCAATGACAAGGCTCTTCTTCCTCGCCAACCAATCTCCTCGTCCTTATCTCCTCCCCTCTTATTCAAACAAGAAATAACAGTAATAATGTTGAATGGCTGAACCAGAATCAATGTCCGAATCCCACTTTTACTGCAGGCACAACATGAGGTCCACCATAGCCATGGTCACCCTTCCTCTTCCTCTACATACAGGCCGAGGCTATGGCGGAGTACTGAGGGCTCTCCCTCCTGTCCAAAGGACAACCCAAAGCAGCTATGTCGCTGCCCTTCTGTCCCCAGGTCAACTCCCTGCAGCTATGCCGCTACCTACTCAACCGCCATGCCTGACTCTGTCCCGATGCGGCACTACCCCCACTGGGGCCTTCCAGATGCAGCGCCTAACAAGGTGATGAAGATGGTGTCTACCATAGCCAGGTAAGTACCCCGCCACTCTCCTCCTTGGTCCCCTTCYCCCTCCTCCTCCTACCGGTAGAGCTCCACCATAGCCAAGGTGGAAGCTCCCGGCTTCTTCCTCCTAGCAGCGCTGTAGTACCCAGCGCCACTCCAGCCAGCGCTCCAGCAGCGTGTCGCCAAACTTGCACACTGAAGAATGAGGCGGAGCTTTTGCCTCGGCCTCTTGATATAGCGGCCTGCTTGCCTCCTGGGCGGTGGCTTCCAGTCCGCTCGGCCTCCCAAGCAACCCGTACCTCCTCCCTTTTCGGAGGGAAACATCATTGCAGACTCTGATATTGCCAGTACAGGCTCTAGACTCAGACTGGATGGACTGGTACCGGCCTAGACCTAGCCTACCGCTACTGGGCCTCTAAAAATGCCAACTTTGTCTTCTTCTTCTCGACCTCGAGTACCCGGCACATCTACTGCTACTGGGTGCGGTACCGGCCTACCTGCTACTTGAGTGTTTTTCCGCTGCTCTAAGCACCGCGGGCACCTGGCTCCGCTACTTGAGTGTTTTCCCTGCTGCAACCCTCAATGCCACGGCCACAGGTAAGGACCGGCCCTACGGGCCTGCAAAACAAGCAAGTACCCTTGCGGGTCACACACACACTCATGCCGACAAGCACTCAGACAGGCACGCAAGTCCACAGGCACGCACACATTCCATCGGGATGCAGGAATCTCAACAAGGCATCCATTCCAACGGCAGAACTTCAAAAATCAGCAGTGTTCTCAATCTGTGTTATGGCGGGTCATTACAATGGGAATATTCAGACCGAAAACCACCTGCCTTTAGCGACTGTCAGCGGCTCAACCCTATCCGCCTCTCCCCTATACCCCGATACCCAATCTCTACCAGGCCTCCCACCCCCAACTGCTAGGTTGTAGAGTGGCACAACCCACCCAGAACCCCCCCACCTGCTAGGCTACAGGGCAAAGCGACCCATCCCGGCTCCGGCCAGTGTCGACTAAGTATCAGCTTGCCAAGGTACACTAGAGTGTCTTCCACCCTCGACAACTACCCAGATCTCTCTACCAGGTCTCATGCCCCCGTACCGCTCGGGTTGCAGGGCAGCGCGACCAAGCCCCAGCACCGACCCGTGTCGTTCTGATCTCGTCCATTCGCAAACCATTGGGACCAAGGACATCAGCAGATACCAGACAAGCCACCAATCGTTGTCATAGCTGTAGTTCCGATCATCCACTCTTTCAAGCACTTACTGCGGTAGAGCCACCATCTCCACCGCTATTGTACCCTATTTCCACCCTACTGGCTAGCCCCTTCGCTGCAAAGCGCATTATCTCCAACCATCACCGCAAACGTAGCCCATTGCAACCAGCACCAAAATTATGGAGATTTTTCCAGTTGAAACCTAAAAAATCAAAGGAATTCAGGGAACTCAGATACACGCGCAGGAATCGTAACCTAAAAGGTAGTCAACACCTATTATTCCCACAAGGAGAGAGGACGGGAGGGAACTACTCTCCCCATGGAAACTTTTGCGCCTATTCACATCTCTGCGGGATGTAAAAGGCTCACAAGAAACCGAGCGGCTTACTCCTCCCCCCCAGAAAAGCAACCTCCTGTCCTTTCACTGCCTCCACTGGAAGGTGCCCCCTCACCTCCCAGCCCCAATTCAAAACAGCCCCCTAAATCACTCTTGCTCCCTCAGCAGCATACAATACCCCCTAGAGCATGCCCCCGCAGAGTCGAAGATCCCCCTTCCCTCGTGTCCCACCCCCTCCAAGTGAAACACCTCTCGACCTCTCACCTTGCTGAAATCAGCACCCCTTGTCCTCCCTCCCAACTGTCGTGGTTGATCCGACCCAAATCAGCCTGGCCCAGAAGAGAACAAACCCACAATACCGCCCCTACCCTCTCAAGGATCACACCTCCCACCTTGTATAACCCTCACAGGGAGGGGCTCGACCCTGAAGGAGATAATTCAATCAGCACCAATGAGCCCAAACCCTAAGTATCGGAGCTTGAGACTCGATTGTGACCAGTTAACCATCACAGACTCCATCATTGCCCCAATATATATATATATAGGGTCACCAGCCCGTACGTACGGAGGTCCTCGGGCGGACCTCCGTACGTACGGGCGTTCGGGGTCCCATTAGGGGCCCGAACCCGAAGGCGTTTGGCCCCCGCCAAAAATTATTTCGGGGCCCAAAAATAAATTTTGTTTTCTTAATTTGTTTTTGTGAGTTCTCTATGATGTGAGGTACATGCATATAAATTTTGAAGTCACTTTGCTAAGCCAAACGAAAATTAAAAATCGCCAAAGATGGCGGTGTCAAAACGTGACTATTTTGTTTTTTCTCACTTTTTACTTTTTGTTTTCACTTTATTGTGAGACCTAAACAATTTTATTATGTTTTGAATTTTTTTTAGTGAGTTGTGTATTATGTGAATTACACATTTGTAAATTTTCAGGGCATCGCATTTGTCTGTTCCAAAAAAAAAGGAAAAATCGCCAAAGATGGTGGTATTGAAAACGTTCTCGCTCACTCACTAATTTTAATTCTCTTTTTATTTTTTATTTTTTTATTAGGGATAATTTGTGAAATAGCCCCATAAGTTGAGATATATGCCAAAATGCCCCTGAAAGATGTGGGTAGAGCGGAATGCCCTTTTGGGCCGAAATCTTT